CCCCCCCCGGTCTTTATATTACAAATCCAAATAAAATAATCTATAACAATGTTTCTTGAAATCATCAGGGAGGGTACTGAATAATTTACCACGCAATGGGGATGTGATTGCTAGTACTTCTTCCTCTATCTGCCGATCTCAAAAGTGAGTGTACCCATTTCCATAGACTTTCCAATCACTTATAACCCAAACTTACTCAGGACTGTCAGTACAGCAAATTAAAGCAATCAATTAAATACACAAGTTGTAATTGATCAACTTATTAGCTCCACACAAGCATCCACAAAACACATTGATCAACTTATTAGCTCCACACAAGCTTCCACAAAACACAGTCATTCTAAAAATGAAAAAAACACCTTTGACATTCTACACAAATGTCTAAGTTTCAGATCTAAAAAGCATTCCTCTCTGAGAAGGGAAGAGGAATATGCTTCTTCTAAAAGTGCCTGCTCCAACTTTTTAAAATAAAGCTATATTACAACATATAAAGGGATCTGCTACCCAATTAATCATGGGATTTTAACCAGTTAATTTAATCAATCGTAACCATTACAGCCCCACATGGAAGTAAACAACATTGATTGTAACAGGGCCTGCTTCCAAGTATTGTTGTTTACAGCCCTGGAAGTAAACAACATTGATTGTAACAGGGTCTGCTTCCAAGTATTGTTTACAGCCTTGTTTTTTTCTCACTGAGCCTCAAAGCCTATTACAAACTATATACCAAGAAAATGCTAGTACTTCAAGCAGAAATTTCATCTTTGTAAGTATGATAAACTATCTTTTACAGTAAGGCTTATTTACTGAAGAGTGAAAAAAACTCATAGCCTCCCTCATAATTAGAAACAAGAGTCTTGTGATACATCAAATTCTAACTGTCCCTTTCACGAAGGTGAGACAACTTCTTCAGCTGCATCTGTGAAACTGCACTTGAGTTCATTAGATCTATTAGTCACTAAGATGCACAAGACTCCTTTTGGGGTTTGCTGCAATGGACGAAGACAGCCACCTCCCCCCACACCCCGAATTTACACTCATATCCATAAACCACAAATCAATCTATTTGTCAAATACCCCTTTAACCAAAGAACATAGATAATGGAGCTATTAAATTTTACATATGGTCTCGTTCAAATCCGTGGCGATCGATCTGAAACGTGACCCGGCTACTCCGCAGAAGGGCCTAAGTTTGCAGCCGCCCATTCCAACCAGCGACTTCCTTCTTTCCCATAACAATCCCCTCTCCTCGGACTCCGGTAATTGGGCAACCGAAGCCTAGTCAAACCGAGGGAAGGATGCGAACAAAGGCCGCGAGAGATTCCAAACTCAGCAGCGGGGAAACGCAAAGGCACGGGAGAGGCTGCACTTACGCAGCGCGGTAAGCAACGTGGCGGGAAATCAGTAGCCTGCGGCCAGGGCTCTCCGGGAACTCGCGTGCGGGTCGGAAACAGAAACTTAGACCGACTTCTAAATAAAGAAGCGCGTTGGCATCATAACTGTTTTATTTTGCTGCAGCAGACTAACCCGACTATCGCTCCGGAATTATAACCACTTTTGCAGAGTATCAGGCACGCACCTCCCCCCTGCCATGTGTCTATTCGCAGCCCTTTGTATTTCCCCACGGAGGAGGGCCTGGGGATCAAACCCTTTCTCCTGGAAGGCCGGGGTTCACTGTATGGCGAAAGCAAAGCACTCCCCTGGTGTTTCAGGAGCCCAAAGACTGAAAACCCCGGCACTGAAAGCAAGGGTCGGGCCATCCCGCTGCTGCTGCGACTCTTTCATAACAAACCCATGTGCCCCTTTACCAGGAGAGGAGGAGGCGGGGTGTGAGTGGGCGCCAAACAGTTCACACACAAAACGGTTCCAGGCAAAAGCCGCGGCCAGGCGGCATCTCAGCGGGTTTTTCCTGTGCAACGCGGCGGGGGAGAAAAGCCGCATGGCCAGGAGTTCCCAGGGAGGAGTCCCAAAAGCCAGGGCGAGCGTGCGTGCGTGCTATTCTACCTCACCTTGCTCCTCGGGGTCTCCGCGGGGCCACCCTGGCCGCACGTTCGCTCCCCCTGTAGCTAGGGGTCGGCCGGAGAGCGCGTCTCTTGGCTCGCTCACTTTCGAGCCTTCCTCAAGCCCGAGCTCGAACTACCCGCCGCCACCAGACGTCCCAGCGCAGGACGCAGGGCGGCTGGATGAGCAGGGGGCAAGGGGGTGAGAGAGCGAGGGGCTTCGGCGCTCCTTCGCCTTCCCCGCCGCCTGCCTTTACCGGGAGTCTCCTGGCCGCCGCTGATTCGTCTTCCTCAAGACCACGTTCGGGTCCAGGAGGCTGGAGAAGTTGCGAGCGAGGAGGTGGCCGGCACGGGAGAATTCCCCACTTCCTGCGCTCGGAATGGAACAGTCCGGTGGCGGGAGACGTGAAGGGGATGGGCCCGTTTGGGTTCCTTCCGAGCGGGACGACTGGGGAGAGCAAAAACGTTCGCTGGAGCACCCTCCAAGTCGTATCAGGGGTCACCCGAGGCTTAAGATACCGGGATAGAATGCGCCTTCTCCGCCTTTTGGGGCGGGGAAGGTGTTTAAATTAAAAGTTTGCCGCCTTTTTTTGTGTTGTTTGTTCCTGGGCAGGGTTTCTGCTCTACGGTAGGAGACATTCACCTTGTGAAGTTTTTCTGGCATAAAGGTGTAAGGACGGGCAAAGCTACGCCTGTTGGATTTTCCCCGGACACCGGGGAGCTGTTAAAGCGGTAGGACAAGACCTCTGCTGCCAAAGGGCTCCGGTTATATTTTAAGCACGCATTTGCACAAGGAAGGGGAAACAAGTTTCGCTGCCTTTCGTACACGGGGCTTAAGTTTAAACAAATTGAGATGAAGCCTGTAGGAGGTGGGGGAGCTGTGGTCCTTGAGTTGTGGAGCAAAACGTGGATCAGAGGAATGGATTTTCATTATGATTACATAGGCAGCCCCCCAAAGTCCACGGTCAAATGGAAGGACACATCCGTGCCCGCAGACTGTCCTGCATAAACATAGATTCAATACTGTGCTGTGGTGCTAAAACAAGGATCCTCCTAGACTGAACATCACCTGAAATATATTATTAAATCACACATCACACAGGCTGCTGTGCTTTGTAGCACCACCATGGCACCAAAAAATGCAAATATGCAGATCCTTACAGATTTTCATGACTCCACCAAAATTCATGGAATCACATATCCCAGCAGCACCATAAAAATGAACCCACTGTTTTGTGGCATCATCATAGCATAAGAAATGCATTAAAAATCTGGATCCTTCAAGTTGTTACTTGCCATCCCCCCCTCTCAAAATCACACCAACATCTATGGACTTTGGAAGGTGGCGGAAGAGGAATTTAATGGTGCTGAGCCTGAACCTATGTTCTACAGTACAAAAAAGAGATTGAAATCTTGTGTGCCCGTAAAGGTTCCCTTGCTCGAAAGCCAGTCAAATCCGACTCTAGGGTTGTGGTGCTCATCTGCATATCAAAGCCGAAGAGCCAGCGCTGTCCGAAGACGTTTCCGTGGTCATGTGGCCAGCATGACTAAACACCAAGGCGCACAGAACACTGTTACCTTCCCACCGAAGTGGTACCTATTTATCTACTTGCAATTTCTTGCTTTTGAACTGCTACCTATTTATCTACTTGCAATTTCTTGCTTTTGAACTGCTAGGTTGGCAGGAGCTGGAACTAGAGATGGGAGCTCACTCCATCATGCGGCAACTTGGGTCTCGAACTGCTGAACTACTGACCTGCTACAATTTAAAAATCACATATTGCATGTGGATTGCACCACGGGGAAAAAGATATCCAGCATTTTGTGGCATGACCATTTGAAAAAACATGCATTTGAGGTCTAAAAAGGAGACATTCACCTTGTGAAGTTTTTCTGGCATAAAGGTGTAAGGACGGGCAAAGCTACGCCTGTTGGATTTTCCCCGGACACCGGGGAGCTGTTAAAGCGGTAGGACAAGACCTCTGCTGCCAAAGGGCTCCGGTTATATTTTAAGCACGCATTTGCACAAGGAAGGGGAAACAAGTTTCGCTGCCTTTCGTACACGGGGCTTAAGTTTAAACAAATTGAGATGAAGCCTGTAGGAGGTGGGGGAGCTGTGGTCCTTGAGTTGTGGAGCAAAACGTGGATCAGAGGAATGGATTTTCATTATGATTACATAGGCAGCCCCCCAAAGTCCACGGTCAAATGGAAGGACACATCCGTGCCCGCAGACTGTCCTGCATATTCAATACTGTGCTGTGGTGCTAAAACAAGGATCCTCCTGAGCCGCAGACCGGAATCTGCTCGGAGCAACGGCAGCGGCGGGAACGTTCAGGCGTTTTATTTTTTTTCTCCCTTTTTGCAAGGCTTGGCTTGACGCGGCACCGAGCCAATCAGAGGGTGGTGCCTGAAGGGACTTGCAACGGGGGGAGGCCGGCTTTTCTCTCCCCCCCCCCGCCGCTGTGCAGGGGGAGAAGTGGGAGGGAGGCTGGGCGGGCGGAGCGGGGTGGGCCGCTGCTGGTGAGGGGCGGGCGGTGTGTGTGTGTGGGGGGTCTGCTCATCCCCGGCCCTCCCCCCTCCTCCGCGGACTTTCCTGTGGCCTGAACCCACCCCGGGGAGACGGGACTGGAGGCGCACTGCCTGCCCCACAGGCCCGGGCCCCTCTCCCCCACCCCGGCCGCGCGGTCCTCCGATGGGGAGCCAGCTCCGGCAGGTCTGGCGCCCTCCAGACTCGGCTGGGCCCCGGCCGAGGGAAGGAGGAAGGGCGCTCCGGCAGGATCCAACTTACCACCTGCACTGTACTTCCATTTAATTAGCTGGTGGGCCCCCCGAGGCCCCCTCCTAAAGAATTCCCTAGCTACGGGGCTGATTGCACCACGGGAAAAAAAATATCCAGCATTTTATGGCATGACCATTTTGAAAAAACATGCATTTGAGGTCTAAATGCCGATAATACTGCTACAGGTTTTCATCGTGGTGCCCACCTCCCCTGCTCCTTCCCCACTTGTCTGCACATATCTGTGCAATTTGTCAACAAAACAATATTTGATCTTACTCAGTGAAGCAAATAACTGCCATTTAGTAGAAGACTCATGTCTAGATTCAAACCAATAAAACTGCTGAGCACAGGCTTACTCACACACAGCACCATTTTATCATTTTTTTTGTCATTTAAATAGTTTGCCTTTTAGCACCCAATAAATGAAAAACATACAGGTGCTACTTTGGGGGATGAGGTGTGAAGCTGTGCATGTGGTGGGGAGGGGGACAGAGAAGAAAAAGTGGGAATATGAATAGCATCAAAGTTTTTTGCTCCTAAGATGCTTCTTTGGGCTTCTGTTCTTGTTTATACTAACACTCAACATTATGCAGCAGTTCTGTTAAAAAGGTGTCCAGGAATTAGCCTGTACTATGAAGAACTGATCTGTATGGTAGAAAGTCTTGTGATAAACGTTATTCACTTAAATCATGCTATAACACAATTTTGCAACTACATTATTCTTTAAGAACTGTATAATATGAAAGACAGTCCACTGCTTTCTTCCCTCCTTAAGAAGAAAAACATTACACTGTTCTACAGTTATCCTTTTTGTATGCAGCTGTCCCCTTTTCCTAGTATTTCCTTTTAAAACACTTGGTGTTTAGAATCCTCTTTCAGCTTCTAACTTAGCAACAATAGAGTCTACTTTTTCATTTTACTGGAATTCATTTGGCTGTAACCATCCCAACTGTATCTCAAATACCTCTCACTTTACTGCTGTGGGTTTCCCAAGCATTATTGAATTTCTACTGCTTTTCAAAACCTCTTTTCACATTACTTCAAAGACTTCTTCTCTAAGCCCTGATCATCTTTGTGCTATTACCTTTTCTAAAGACTCTCATCAGCATCTCAGACTTGATGTTATAGCTAGATCCTAGGTGCTCTTCAGCTGCAATATGATATATCACATTTGGTGAATTTTATAACAATTGGGTCTGGACTAGCCTTTGACTTTGCTCATCATCCTACAAGAGTATTTCTGATGATTGCTCAGCCCAGCCCTTTGAATTTAAACCATGCAATGAAATTTATAACCGTAATTCCACTTGAGGCTTATGATACACCCTATAATTGGGCTGAAGCACTTTTGAACTGCTGCTTTCTGTACAGAATAAATGTGTACATGAAGACATTATTAGTTGCTATGAAAACATATCAAGTCTGTCCATTTATACAGGTCTCCCCGCCCCCCAATTGTATTTCTATAGTGACATAAAATATAATTATACATTAAGGGTATCATTTGTGAAATGCCCTTGCAAGTAGATATAAATTTGTTTTAATTGAATAAATACTGTGAAAATGTGCTAATACCATGTCTTGATGCTTTTTTTCCAATTCACAAAACATATTAGTGATATTACGCTAAATCCCAGTTCATGAGCTCAGTCTTTTTTTCATCTCTGCACTTAACAGTTACTAATTTGGGTTCCATTGAAATAATGACTCTGAGGATTTTTGATCCCAAGTTCCTGCCACCACATGTCTCCTAGACCTGTCAAGTATCTGAAGTAGCCAGGCACTTTCCCACACTTCTCAATGAATACTGACATACCTTACTTAAAAGGATTACTTGCTGCTGGGAGGAATTGTAATCCTCGTTTTCCTGCTCTCTAAATCCTCTGATAAGTAAAAAAGAATGGCCAGATTCTGTTCTGCAATGCAGGGTAATTATCATTGTGTTAGATATAGCTGCCCACAACAAATCTACAATTTACTTGTGGTCACCCTTGGCCTGCAGCGGAGTCTTTCACTGACATCCTAACCAGTTACACCCTTCTGAGTCTATTGAAGTCAACTGGTTTAGAAGGGTGCAGCTCTCCTCAGGGTGGCCCTGTAAGTCCTTCATCTTGTTTTAAAAGCCTACCATTACACCATTACAAAAAAGAACAACAATAATAGGTATTGTTATTATTTTATGTTTTAATAGCCACAGACAGTTTTAATTTCTGTTTGTTGGTTCTTTTATTCCTTACTTGATGTTTGCCAACAACACTTTTAATGTGATAGTGATTTCCATAAAGCAAGGTGATCTAGTTCCCAGAATGCATTAGAATTGTTTTTTAAATATAACCCTGAGTCCATATGGACAGCAGTCCAACCACACATCTACACCTGATGTGCATGGTAGAATTCTTATCGCCTTGAAGACTGATGCAAAAGCTCATCTCATTTGCTCATCCTTATGGGCTTGTTTCCTCATGATCCAGAGGAGCTGCAAA